CAGTGTAATATAAGTCATTTGGTGAAAATGGGATTCCCACCCTTCAGCTTCTCTCCGAACATGGTGAGGAAGACGGTGAAGTTGATTGGGCCGCTGGCCTCTTTGATCATGGCCTCCAGCTCCTCATTCTTCACGTTCAGCTGGCCTGAAGAGCACAGAAATTAAAATCAAGATGAGAGAGAGCGTGAAGTGAATTCGCACATGCTTTCTGGGGTGTGAATTGCTTCCATTTGGATTCACCCATTGAGGCCAGCACGTCCCTCAGGTCATCTTTGCTGATGATACCATCTCTGTTCTGGTCAATGATTGTGAAAGCCTGGAAAGAAACGCTTGGGTTTAGTATTGGAAGGAAACACTTGGGGCTGATGCGGTCTGTGTGGTTGGGCGGGATCAGACCTCTTTAGGCATTTACGAACTCCTCTGTCAATAGTTTGTTCATTAAAGTGGCAGCTGGTAAGAATCTTTGACACACAAATGACGATAGACGATACTGTAAGAAAGAACCTTAGTGGGCATTTGGTGGCAGGAGGGGGTGTTTAATCCCCCACCCCAGTCTTTTCTTACATGTTAATTTGGGAAAGTATCATTAGAGTACAGCTATCTGATCTGCTCTGCATCTTACAACCATGAAACTTAAGATAACCCCTTGGACTTGGACTTGAACTTCACTCACTGACCTTTCTTTCCACCTTCTCCCCTTGCTCTCCTTTTCCTTACTCTCTCTCTCACACACACACATTTGTACTGATAGTTACAAATACATCCTGCTGCCTGCTAGCTTTCCATCTATGCAATGTGCTAAGATCATCCTAATCATTATTACATGTGTTCCCTGTGTGGCACTTAAGAAGCCTGTATCACTTATCAGGGGATAAATATGGTCTATTTGGAGCTCACATCACTTGGCAACACACTGAAAACCCGGACACCATCGTTATCCAGAGTCGTGTCGGCGTGCTCTTCTCAAATCAAGTCTCCCTGACCTTAATGAACTCTGACACACAACCTTTAATCTTTATTTTTTACACTTTTTCCTTTTGCTCTTTGTCTTTTCTTTCTAATCTTATCAAATGTTCAGTGGCATCTGAAAAATAAACCTTTAAAAATATGTCATGCCCAAAAGTGAGTCTAACCCCTTTGTTTTTCTTTTCTGCATCATAACAGGGGTTAGTTTAATCTCCTTGGCATCCCAGACTTTACCCAGCTGTGACAGCTGACAGTAGCTAGGAGGGGGGGAGTCAGAGGTTCAGATGGTGTCGAAATTTCAGCGCTGCTCCTAACGACATTCCTATGATTATTAAACTGTCAGGGGAGAAGTGGAAGCATGCAAAATAGCAACCGCTGTGAAAACAGATCCTTAGAGTTGCTAAACCAAACTCAAATTCTGCACAGATTCAGATTCTGAGGCTATTTAAATATCTTTGACAACTAATCGGAAACTGTCAAACGCTTCCAGGGCGTTCAGCCATCAGGGATGCTTATGGAGTAGGGATGAAGACGACCTCACCTCTTTGTACTCCTGAATCTGGCTCTGCTCAAACATGGAGAACACATTGGAGGAGCCGCCGTCTCCTGCTGCCTGCCTCCTCTTGGCCTTCTTTGGTGCCTGGAGGACAGAGACAAGCACATCATCTTCAAATGAATATGGGATGCTGATGAGTGCGGAACAAGATTCGGTAACCCTTACTTTTATCAATCTATGTCAATAGGATGTTTAATAATATTAACCTTTCTAAGCTATATAAGATTTATAAATTATACTAAAATCATAAAAATAATCAATTTTGCATAGCATCTCTAAACTTGTCTGATTGGAAATCAATGCTCATCCAGATTACACTTCAGGTTCAAGTTCAGGTCATCACTCAGGCTTGTTAAAAAAACAACAGGATTTTAACACAAGTTATGCTTGTGTGAAATTTTATAAACTTGATATTTTTTCCTCAATTTAGCTTTACCGAACTAATCAATTTGGCTTGCAATGTATCTAAAAACTTGTATCAACTAATAGCAACAATTCATTAGAATCCAAGCCTCTTTACAGCTGCATCATCAAAAATCCAGTTCTCCAAAATCCACACTTCTATTCTGGAATTTCTATTTCAAAATTAGACCAAAAAAAAAAAAATTGTAATCCATGGGGTTGGTTCAAACTCTCCTGTAGATATTTCCACCATCACTGTGCAGAGATGTGGGAAGCCTGGTACTCACCATCTTGAGAGCTGAGGTTTGGGTGATCAAGAAAGGGAAGACACTGTGTGTGTAGCCGCGTTATACGTTTATTCCCGGGGGCTTATATACTCATCCACCAGCCAATCTAACTTTAGCCGCAGCTTCAAGTTTGGATGGGAATAAAAAGAGAGAGAGCGAGAGGGTGTGTGTGTGTATGTGAAATAGAGAGAAAGAGAGAGAGAGGATGGCCAAGGATGAAGTGATGGCAAAAGTGAAGGAGACAGAATGGCGGGGCAGCGTATCACCTTACAGGAGATCAAAAATAGACCCGGGAGTCTTGGAATTAAGTAAACTTGATAGCTGAGGGACCATGTTGCAGGTTTGCAGTCCCACGTGGACTAATAAGGACATTCAGGACATATATACTTGTTGGACCACTGGACACTGCCTCTCCTCCCCTCCTTCTGTCCAACTCCATCCGCCTGCAGAAAGGCACAGAGGCCACTCTGACTTTATTTTTGGTTTGTCCATTTGCGATATTACAGTTTGACAGGCATTCTATATGCTCAGCAACTGATGCAGCTCTTACCCTGAATGTGCACAGCGCTGCTTTCTTTTTTTAAGCCGTGACAAAGTGACGATGCTGATGTCAAATCTGGGATTTTCCCATGGAAGTTATGATGACAGGAGCTGCTTAGCAGGATCAAATACGTAGTACTACATAAAAACATGCAGCCATTAATAAAACGAGCAACAGCAAGATATATAAGCAATATTTTTTTTTACTTAATCCTTACACTGAAATACTTTAGAATCGTGCTGTAGAAAAGGGAGCGTGTCTGAGGATATTCATGCTTACAGACTTAGTTATATAGAATTTCTATTTGTATTTTACCCCCGTCCTTTCTGGATGCATTAATGCAAATGCAAACTGGTCTGTTTTGTAAAAAGAGCTTTATGTATTTATTTCCTCTTTCTTTTTCAGTCTTTTCAAACCTATTCCATCATGGTGAAATGGAACATTGCCAAAACTGAATTAAATTAATAAGGATAAGGTGTAAACAAAGAGCTTGAACAAATTTTTATCCAACAGTCTTATTGTTTAATAATTAAAATGTTAGTGCAAACAATGTAAACGTGTTAGGGATGCAGATTAGTGCCACAACAATGAAACATGAACAAATGAAAAATAATAAAAAACAACATAATTGTTATGTTTATAATAATTAATAATGTAATTGAAATAATTAAACAATTTCTGCTATTGTAGGTCACAGATATACAGGGGGTGATACATGAAATGCCTGAAACATTTATTTAGTAGCAAAAGAGCAATGTACGAATACTTCCTGCGTTCTGAAAGTAATTTTAAGAAAATGTCCTTAAATTATTAATAAAAGTTTAATCCTAGAGAAAAATGAGATATTACATAATGTGTGGCTTAATTAGATACTTAATACCTGGCAGGGATAATTTAACTTCACTTAACTTTCAATATTTAACTTAGTTTTATTTATTCGACTAACCAAAGACATCATAGTCATAAGCCAAAAGGTTTGCACACCAGTAATTAAATTTTTAAACATGTACATTTATATGATGTCCCTTAGTTAAATACAATTTTGATTGTGGAAGCAGATAGTCGCTTCATATATAAGATTAATTTTGAGGCCTGAAAACTACAATACTGCCTTTTACAAGCAGAATGGCAATTAATTTGCAATGTGTAGTGTGAGTTGCTCTTTTGTGTAAGTCATTTTTTTCTCATTTTTTGTGTGTTTGTTGTTTCTGAAGGGGTGTTGCGAGCCTTAAATGTACGACAAATGCCAGACAATTGAAAGCACCATTAATCTCTGTCTGAGGCTCTGCCTTCTCATCACTACAGAGGTGTGTGATTTCTGATTGGTTACAGTCATGAACACTTTCCCACCTGTTTGGCCCCCTCTCACACCGTCTACCCCTCAGGCTCCCACCCCCTTAAATATAAAGGGATTACTTGGCAGGGTGATGGCAGCAGACATTCCCAGAAGAGCATAAAAGGGACAGCTGAGTGCGACCAAAATAGCTAAATAAACCTAACAGTCTGTCGACGTGCCGCCACCCCCCCCCCCAAATAGCAAAATGCTTTCCTTCATTTGCTCTTTCAGGTTTTATATCCAAATCTACTTCAGAGATAATCTGTTTTCATTTTATTAATCAGGCACATTTATTTTTGTTCTGTGGTTGAGACTGTTTGTGTTTCCACTTATCTCCCCACCAGCCACCGATGAGTCACATCTCTGCTTTTCACTGGTTTCCAGTCCCTCAGTAATCTGAATTAGGCTGGTGTTTGTTTTCACTGGACGTGCAGGAATTCCAGGGTCTGAGTCTCAGTACTTACTTTGTATTCTTGTTGACCTTTGACCTCTGTTTCACTAGACCATCAACATCTCGTTGCAGGAGTTATATGTATCACACCACATGGTGTCAGTTTTTACTTTTAAGAGGAAGAAGTGGATAAGATAAGATTTGCCTGTATATATTTTTTTCTGTACACTTCATTTATCGCTCATACATGAGACGAAATGCACTGTGGGAGGAAACTGAAGCAGGCAACTCCACGCAGAAACAATGATTCAAACCAGGAACGTTTTTACTGTGAGGTGACAGTGCCAACACGTGCAGCGCCATATTAAACTACACTGAAACTCTGTGTTTTAGCTTTAAAAGCGGCTCCATAATCTGCTCCCACAATAATCATTCACTGCTTTTACACTTTAGGATTTACTTAAACAAGTTAGATCTTGCAACTTACTTCAGTGGAACATTTTAAAGTATTACAACAGATTGCATTGCTTCTAATATCAGCATATGGTGACCACTGTATCTGCTTTAAACATCATTTAGCCTGTTGTTTTAACACTGTGTGCGTTTGGGTTTTTTATTCGTGTTCTTTATGTGATTGTGACTGAAAATAATAACAACAACTCAATGGCTTCCTCATAGATTTGTCTTTTTGAAAGGGAAAAGTAATGACTTTAAAATCGGTCTTCGGTAAAAAAACTAATAAATCAAAGTGGTTTTCTTCAAACTGGCCCTTCGAGTTGGACACGAGTGTCAAGCACTTCTTAAGAAATATGCAAACGAGCTGTAACATCTCAAACTTTTCACAGATGTGTCAGCTGCTGCAGTTTACTGACTTCACCGTCTGCACAATGTGTTTAACCGCCGCTGTGGCGAGGGAATGCTTTCATACAGATGTGTGTGTACATTGCAGGTGCCTGTGCTGTAATGTGACGCATCCCACCACGCTCTTGAGAAGCCATCTATCATTTCTGGATGATTGGTATGTGTGTATGTAGGGTCTGGAATGTGGAGAAGCTCCCTGCTTGACCTATGGGGAAGACGGTCTTAGCAAATTGGAGTGACACGGGAGACATGAGAGTTTGTAATGTCATAATGTGTGTTTGATCACCGTCCAGTCTGAGGTTACTCTATTTGGTTATTTGAGTCCATCTGTGATTGTGTTACATCAGTCGCCATTCAGTGAATTTCAAAAGCACTTCAGGTGTCTGTTGTTGTTTTTCAAGTTGCAGGACAGCTGAATTGTGGACGCTGCTGATAAAAGTAAGCAGCAACTAACTTAACTAAAGCCACTAAATTTTCTTAAATATGTAACACCAGCTGCATTCTTTGTGTCTCTTGCATGCTTCTATAAATCAGTCAGTCACACACTGTGCCTGCAGCTCCCTCTACTGTTCATGTTCCTTCATTGCTTCTTCTTCTCTGTGCAGGTTCTCAGTCATCCATCCACTGCTTCTTCTCTGTGCAGGTTCTCAGTCATCCATCCACTGCTTCTTCTTCTTTCGGCTGCTCCTTTTAGAAATCACCACAGAGGCTCATCTACCTCCTCTGTCACAGAAACCCTCCTTCACTACATCCATGAATCTTCTCTGTGGTTTTCTTCTTTCCTCCACCCTTTGTCCAGTGTATCCACAATCCCTGCTCTTCACATGCCCAAACCACCTCAGCCTTGCCGCTCTGACTTTCTGATCTGTCCCTCTGATGTACTGATTTCTAACCTGCAAATGAAAAGCTTAACATCCTCAACTCTGTCACCTCTTGTATTTTTGTCAGTGCAACCATCTCCAAACCATACATGATAGCCGGTCTCGCTACCATCTTCTAAACCTTCCCTTTCACTCTTGCTGCCATCCTTCTGTCACAAATCACCGGTGACACTCATGCTTGCACTCTCTCCTTTCTTTTGCTTTGGATGGTATTTAAGCTCATCTTCCTTCAGGACATGGACTTTCTTACCACCACTGTTAATCACAGGCGTAGATTTAAGAAGGGGCTCTTATGAGTTATGTTTTTATTTGTATTTTGTGCATCAAAGTTGTGTGTCAACATGCCAACGAACCAGTTACAAGTCATAAAAAACAATAGACATGTTTTATTTGATCGTACAGTGAATTTCATATAATACTCTTTTATTTAACACTGCATCATGGTGGGCGTCCCACAGCAAGAAAATCACAGGTGTAAAATATTGCCATAAAATATAAAAATAAAAGGCCCCTTTGAACAGCATCTACCCTGCTTTACATTCCAGTGTGTTTTCTTCACAGAATCTAGAAAATCTGAACTTTCTGCAAAGAGTTTAAAGCTAATCTAAAAATGACCGGCGTTGATCAGACAGATGTCAGGTGTCTGCCAAAAATGTCAAAATACTAAAACAGGCCCGCTTCCTCTTTGACACACATGACTCACCCCATCTCAGTTCCTCCTAAGGAAACATTAAACTCTTTTTTCTTTCACCCCAGGTCAATAAGATCTTGATCAGTGTGGTCCTCTTCTTTTTGACGACTTTTCAGCCAGTCCTCTCGCACTTTCTTCACTTCCTGGCCATAATAATCATGGAGTTTGCTAAAATCCTCGAACAGGTCAAATCCCACCAAAGGCCACTCCCCATACAAAGGTGCTGGTCCATTAAGAGGTGTGACACAAGCATGTCTCCTGGTCCAGAGTTTGGGGGATTTTTTTGCCACTACTTTAGCTGGTATGGAAGGTGCTTGTAAAAGGGTGCTGGCACTGAAGCTCCTCCCCTCTCTGACTACTGCTGTTTTCTGCATTGTGGTGAATAAGAAGCTGTTTGTGGGCAGCTTGAGGGCACTGACAGAGGGGTGGGACTCACCCAGGCTTTGCTGCCGCTTAGCTTCTGTGAATAGAAACCAAAATATGAACAGAGAACCCTGCTTGTATATATAAAGTGTAAAAATTTCAACAGTTAAATTTTACATTCAGGTTATGTGCTGTGATATTTCAGGACTAGGGGAAATAACTTGCTGTAATCAAACCAGACTATTTTTTTTTAAAAGCTCAGTGAGCTGTTTAAGCGCTGGGCAAACCATAGATTAAAAACATATAAAAATGGCTGATTGAAAGCAAAAAACACATGAGAATTTGATGTATAGGTGGCAGTACTCCTAACACACCTTCATACTGTCTCGCTAGGTCTTTCACCACCATGGAGAGGTAACAGTGGCTGGCTGAGTGGAGAGCTTTCACCCAACTCTCTTGACCCTGGCGATCTATTGCTGCAAATCTGTAAGTTTTGAGTCCAGGCCCAAACACCAGGGAGAAGGTAAAATGTCCATCGGTCTCCGAGTGCTGAACAGCACACCCTTCCAGCACAATGACACCCAGCAGGTGTCTGTCAGCTGGGCGCTCCTGGTAAAAAAGCAAGTTTGCCTTCAGGACAAACCACCGCCGGTGGTAGGTGTCATTTCGTTTTTTCTACGGGGACATTTAAGATAAATGAAGTCAAAAGATTGTATTTGCACATGAAAAGTGATTTCACATTGTTTATGATGTATATCATCTCAAACCTTTTTGTTGAGATATCCCTCTTTATCCACTGGAGATGTGCACGAGAGGTAATGGGTTAAAATCTTCTCATGAAGCTTCATCACAACACCTGAAAAAGAGAAAGCACTGATGCATTCGGATGATATTTATACCAAAATCTGCACTAGATGTAACGAACACATGACAGAAGAGTGACACGGCAAAATATGCATGGCCCTTAAATTACTGTACTTGTTTTATGTGTGAAAGCAAAATGGATTTGTTGGTATGATACAAAACATCCATGAAAGTTAAAAAGTAAAGGCAGGTGTTCAAGAAAACAAATAAAAATGAAAAAATACTTGATGAAAATTATGAAAAGTATGTGTACTAATAAAACTAACATCATTTTTAGTCAGTGTCAGGTTAGTTACATTTATTAACATGACCTGCCTGATTTTACACAAGGCTTTGATTTTTCTACATGACTGTGAGTCGACCGCATCCACAACGTAGCAACACAAAATGAAACATTTTGAAACAATAGAAAAAACTCAAAAAACGGACTCAAAACTAAATAAATAATTCGAAAAAATTAAGCAATGATATTTCAGGTCGTCAGAGTCAAGCTTACTCTGTTTTCCCTATTACAGTGAAACCAAGCAAGGCAGATTTTATCTTCTGTTTCTAGTGAAACAGTCTGCAAATATTAAAAGTGTACAGATTATTTAACTTTAATTGGTTTGTGTACCTTTAACTTTTTGCTTTTGATTTTAATGTCTTTTAAATGTGATTTGAATGAATTTTAAGCCATTTAAGCCACGCTAAATAATCTCGCAATGTCATGTCACGGAGGAACTGAAAAACTGCAATACTTGCATATACAGCAGTAAAAACTAGATCCAACACAGTAAATTTATTACTGCTGTACTGCTGTGTTCATACTGCTATTTCAACCATTACGAGCTTTTTCTATAAGTAAGTTACAGTCACAGTGAAAACAGGTGTATAGCTGTGCAGCTAAATTGTATCTACCAAAATCCGACACTCTTGTCTAGTAACTATAAACAACAGTGACATAATAGAAAACGGTGACTCAGACTCACCCCTGCCAATGATAAATCGCTCACGGGGTCAGTTTGCCCTCTCGCGTGGACTTTACCTTAATTACATTCGCACATATTTTCTTTGATTCCTGTCATTCCTGCTCGTGAAGCCGATTGTTCTCCTCCAGATCCAGACAATGTTTGAATGTATAGTTTCAGGTTACTACCACCGGTTCTCCCTCATGAACAAGAGGACGAGCGTTGAAATATAAATAACTCGACCCACTTCCTGGTAACAAAACCCTGGTAACATTATATTCTCTCGCCTCTGCGCTTGAGTCTGCTTTGAGCTGATGGGTCATACACCGGCAGTTGAAACCAACCTTACTGACAAGAAGTGCTACCTGGAAGTGAGATGCTCAGCCCTCTCACTTCTGCATTTTCTGTCACTTGATCTAAACTTAATATCAGTTAAGTTTAGATCAAGTCTCTCATTGTATGTGTGAGGCAAATGTCCCTTGTATCTTGAACTTTGTTCAGAAAAAGTATATATTTATCCATATATCTAAAAGCAGAAAAACATTAAATGGCCTCCTGAAAATGTAGCTCATCGTTTCTTTGCTTGTGTCTGCTTTTGACATCCACTTATCCTTTTTATCCTTATGGCCCTCAGAGAATTTAGAATCTAAAAGGCTCCAACGTGTAAAGACATCAAAGGCCTTATACACTGAGGAGCCCTTTCTTGGTATATAAGGCCTCGGATGTCTTATATACTTTGGATATTCATCGCTGCCTCCTGTATTTTTGTAAGTGCCACAGTCTTCACATCATGGCATCTCTCACTACCACCTTGTAAATCTTTCTTGCTGCTTTTTTTCTGTTACTCATCAGCCCTGACACTTGTATCCACCAACACTCCCCTGCCTGCACTCTCTTTTTCACCTCTTTAGAGCATTGTCCTTTAGTTTGGATGGTTGATCCCAGGTATTTGAACCCATCCACTTTCACAACCTCTAGCATTTGCAGCTTCACTGTTACACCCGCCTCTGATTCACACACATGTATTCTGTCTTGCTCCTACTGACTTTCACTAACTATTCTCCTATCTCTATTTTTACTTACCTGGATGATTGAGCATGCATCAAGACAATACAAGCCAATTCATACTCCTCGTCAGCTGGTGGCGGTAGTGCGCCGTATCGCTGTTTGTTAACGACAACGTGAAAACATGAAAAGAAGAAACTGAGTCGAAAACGAACGTCGTTTGAATAATTTTCGGCAAGTTTTTACATCATTTTACAGCAAAACATTATTTTAATAGATTCCTTTTCATTTTTTCACCTATAGCGTGCAAACATTATACTCAGTAAATGTTATTTCACATCTACAAAGGCGTTTTGAGATGTAGTATTTGCATGTGGTTTGTAGCTCATGTTTTTGGCTAACATGTTAGCCACAGAGCTAACCTGAGTTGCATGTTCAGGGCTAATTATTACAACGTTACAGGGCTACGCGCCTTAAAAGTTTCATAAAACTGCTCAAGTGACATCACAGCTCACCTTCACCTCCACTTCACGGGAATAAAAGAGTCACTGTTTTTCCTCCTGTAGCACCATGTCGAAAAGAAAAGTAACATTTGAGGATGGCAACGGAGAGTTTGACCTCGAAGACGATGTCCCGAATAAAAAGGTAATGCCGTCTTCTTTACACGGTTATTTAAAAAGTATAGACTGCTGTGGTGGCAGAGGTTAGCAATAATTATTTTGTAGTGCAATTAGATTCTTACTAGTTGTTTACAGCCAAGCATCACACACGTACTTTCGATATCTCCAATGTTAAAATGGCACAATAATGCGCCAGTATAAGTCAGTTACCGAAATTTAGCTCTGAAGTATTTGTCAGTGTCATGCATACAGTTGTGTATATAGTCAATAATAATAGAAAGTTAGGTGGTGCTAACACTAACTTTCGTAGAGTGAAACAATCTGATGCCAACATATTGGCCTGTGTTTATCTATTATGTATTTAGTGTATTGAAAAACGCAAATGTGTGGTCATTTAGCAGTGTTTCAGCTTTTGATGTAACAAACTAGTTAGCAACATGTTCTAAAGAGACAGCTTAACGCCACATAAGCATCTGTACCAGAGATGCTCAAAGCAAGTGCAAAGCTGCAGATGTTTACATACAGTCAGGGCGTGAATGCTAAATTTGGGCTTTTAACGCTTTTTTTGAGCTGTTCTTTCCCAGGATGGAATTATTGTACAGCAAATATAATTGATGACATTAAAAACCTCAGTCATTTGTAGTTCATAGTCATCCTAAAAACACAGATGCATCGTATAAGCAAATAACCTTTACTCTAGTAAAGACTATACTTGGTGGCCGAAGAATTTAATTTGACCACAGCAGAAGCAGCATTAACTGAGAGAGTTTTTCGTGTGCTTTGGCACTTTTAATAAAAAGTTAGAGCCTTTTTATTCTTTTTTATTCTTTGGACGAAACCATTAAAAGCACACTACTCTGTGTGTGTGTCTGTTTTGTTTATTTTTCAGGAACTAATTGATGAAATAGGAGTAGTCAATACATCTTTTTTTTTATGTCATTTCAATTCACTTGGTGAAATATTTGTGTTATTTTTATTTTTCTTCTACTCTCGAAATAGAGTTGTGAAGCTGTCAGCGGACCAGGCTCCAGGTTTAAGGGTAAACACTCCCTCGACAGCGATGAAGAGGACGAAGGAGAGGACACAAACAGCAGCAAATATAATATTTTAGACAGTGATGATGTTGAGGGTATGTTGATTATTTAAGCTGTATCTGTAACTCTTAAGTGGTCCTGTTTACTCTTCACATGTTTATTTCCCCCACATTGAGTCAAATTTAGAACTGTCCCTTTATTTCTTTAAAGGGACAGTTTGATTTCTTAGAATTTGGATTTTATGAGATATTATGATCCCTTTTATTTCCCCCTGGAATGTTTTGCGTATAGTAGAGGTAGTGCCACTTTGGAAAAGTAATTGCTGAAGGGGATAACATATCATAGGTCTGTTAAGTTGACAGTAATTTTTGGCCAAATGAGTTTTAGTTGACTGGTGATTTCAGTGTGTCTTTGTCAGCTGAACAGTTACAGTTACACATCGTACACCCTTGTGTTATCTGAGCAAATTTTGGAGGATTCACTTGAGCATTGCCTTGTTTTACTTGGCCTTCATGCATTGGTCGTACTGTCTTTTTAGTTAGTTGTGTTGCTTTAAAGTGCAGACACACAGCACTTTGCATATAACTTCTACTTTGTTAACATTAGTTGCTAAACCCAAAGCATTTCGAAACACCAAATGATGAGTCACTCTGAGGGACAAGCGGGACACCTTCTAGAATAGAATAGAATTCAACTTTATTGTCATTGCACATGCACAGGTACAGGGCAACGAAATGCAGTGCAAATGCAATTCTACAGTGCCAAACAGTTTATTTTTGTTGTATATCTGTCTTTTAACACAGTTTTAGTCATCCACACTACATCTAGGTAATTTCAGTTTGTGTGGTACATTCACACATGTGGTTAGGTAGTCAAGGTTTTAACTGTTGGAGCATGTACAGGGTGGGCCATTTATATGGATACAGCGTAATAACATGGGAATGGTTGGTGATATTAAAGTCCTGTTTGTGGCACATTAGTATATGTGAGGGGGCAAACTCCTCAAGATGGGTGGTGACCATGGTGGCCATTTAGAAGTCGGCCATCTTGGATACAACTTTTGTTTTTTCAATAGGAAGAGGGCCATGTGACACATCAAACTTATTGGTAATGTCACAAGAAAAACAATGGTGTGCTTGGTTTCAACGTAACTTTATTCTTTCATGAGTTATTTACAAGTTTCTCTTTGTTCACAGCCATTGACATGTCGAAGAGGTTAACACGTGAGGAGCGGATCGAAATTGTGTTGATATCTGGTGAACGCAGTAACCGGGTCATTGCAGCAGATTTCAATGCAAGACACCCTACGAGACCACCCATCTCCCATGCTACAGTTAGCAAACTGCTTGCTAAGTTTCGTGAAACTGGTTCAGTGTTGGATTTGCCAAAATGTGGACGCAAGAAAACTGTCACTAATGAAGAAACATCAGTGGCTGTCCTAGCTTCATTCAGCAAGAGCCCACAGCGTAGCACTCGCCGCATGTCACTGGAGAGTGGCATTAGTCGAACATCCCTTCGGCGGATATTAGCTACTCACAAATGGCACCCTTACAAACTCCAGCTACTGCAGCATCTCAACGAGGATGACCCAGATCGGCGCACAGAATTTGCAGAATGGGCAAAACAAAAATTGGAACAGGACCCTCAGTTCACGCAGAAGATTTTGTTCAGTGATGAGGCAAACTTTTATGTGAATGGTGAAGTTAACAAACAAAACCACCGCTATTGGTCTGACACTAACCCACATTGGATGGATCCCTCCAAGACTGTTGGAACAACAAAAGTGATGGTTTGGTGTGGTATATGGGGTACAACGATAGTGGGTCCATTCTTCATCAATGGAAACCTCAAGGCCACTGGATATTTGAAATTGCTACATGATGATGTGTTTCCCTCTTTATGCACTGAAGCTGGCACGTTCCCTGAGTTTTTCCAGCAAGATGGTGCACCACCACATTATGGGTGCCAGGTCCGAGCATTCCTAGATGAACAGTTTCCTGGAAAGTGGATTGGTCGTCGTGGGCCAGTTGAATGGCCCCCAAGGTCTCCCGATCTGACCCCCTTAGACTTTTATCTTTGGGGTCATCTGAAGGCAATTGTCTATGGTGTGAAGATACGAGATGTGCAGCACCTGAAACTACGGATACTGGATGCCTGTGCTGGCATTTCTCCTGCGGTGTTGCTATCAGTGTGTGAAGAGTGGGAGAAGAGGGTTGCATTGACAATCCAACACAATGGGCAGCACATTGAACACATTTTATAAGTGGTCAGAAACTTGTAAATAACTCATGAAAGAATAAAGTTACGTTGAAACCAAGCACACCATTGTTTTTCTTGTGACATTACCAATAAGTTTGATGTGTCACATGGCCCTCTTCCTATTGAAAAAACAAAAGTTGTATCCAAGATGGCCGACTTCTAAATGGCCACCATGGTCACCACCCATCTTGAGGAGTTTGCCCCCTCACATATACTAATGTGCCACAAGCAGGACTTTAATATCACCAACCATTCACATGTTATTACGGTGTATCCATATAAATGGCCCACCCTGTATATCTGTCTTTTAACACAGTTTTAGTCATCCAGACTGCATCTAGGTAATTTCAGTTTGTGTGGTACATTCACACATGTGGTTAGGTAGTCAAGGTTTTAACTGTTGGAGCATGTATTCTAAATATCACAGGATTATACTCATTTAATTGTGGGAATCCAAAGTCCTGATCAAGATTAAAGTTTGCTTAATTATGTGTCCCTACCTAATCCCACTTTAAAGAAATCAAACCCATTTTAGCGAGAGGGGGTGCTGAATTCTCTGATTTCTGTCCTATGCAAGTGAAAGATGTTGTTTTGGCTCAGTCAGGGGTTTTCCTACATAGAGCGAATTTTGGCAGCACCCCAGTGGGTTTTTAGTCACAGCCAATGGAAAATCACAAGTGAAATAAATGGTCATAAATAACAAAATGCAAATATAGCAACACATACATACTGCTTTGCCAAAGACCTGCTTTAATCCAGGAAAAAACCCGTAAGCATCATTTGTGAGTAGTTGGTTAATACGACTATGCCAACTGTGTTTTCAGGTCAAGAGGGAGCAACCATTGACTTTGATGAGGGAGTTTCTATTACTCCTTTCAACCTGGAAGAGGAGATGCAAGAAGGACACTTTGACTCAGAGGGAAACTATTTCATCAAAAAGGAGCAACAGATTAGAGACAACTGGCTTGATAACATTGACTGGGTAATTGAGTTCCTTTGTATTACACCACTGTTTATTCTTTCTCTCACTGTTTTTATTTTTTTGTCTGCTTTTTTCAGCCCGAAATCTGCTTTTGAGTGTTGGTGTCTTTGTATTTCACGAGTTTGTAATCTCATTTTGGTGACAGGTGCTTCATATTTTAAACAGTGTTCAGTAATAAAAGTCTCTTCTTTCTTCAGGTGAGAATAAGAGAGCAGCCTTTCAAAAAAAAGAAGAAAGGTCTTGGAGCCAAAAGGACACGCAGAGCAGGTGATGAGGACGAGGCAGAGGAAGAAAAACAGAGAGAAGAACAGCAAGCAGACCAAGAAGAAGAGGAGGAGGAGGAAGAGGCAGAGCCTCCAGAGGACCCACTGGCATCCTTCACACAGCACCAGCTCACTGAAGCTGTCATCGAACTACTGCAGCCTGGAGAAACAGTCGCTACAGCGCTCCGTCGGTTAGGAGGCCTTGGAGGACGGAAGAAGGGAAAGCTGAGGGAAGAAGAAAAATCCACAGAGGAGACCAAAGGGGATAAAGAAAAGCTTGATCGGCTCACAGCGCTAGCTGACCGACTGGTTGGATCCGGGATGTTTGAAATCTATCAGCAAACCTACGAAAAACTGGCCTACATGTTAAAGAGCATGACTAGCAAGCGGCCAGCGGTGGGGGGTAAGGAGGAGGAAGGAGATGAGCTTGACATGTTTGCTGACAAGTTTGATGAGAAGCATGGTGAAACAGCTGAGGACAAAGATGACAATAATAGAGGTAATTTAGTTATTTTATCTGCTTTAATTTTCAAAGACTGTATTTTTGGTTTAATCCCATTTTGCCTTCCATCCAGTGAGCGATGAAGTGATGTGGGAGTACAAGTGGGAAAATAAGGATAATTCAGAAGTCTACGGCCCTTTCACAAGCCAGCAGATGCAGGTACTCTCCTAAAACTACTTGAAATTGAATAACAGGACTTCTGTTAAGTGTTTGTAGGTGACTGTTTAAAATAATCAGAAGGGAAATGGTTCCCTCTCTGGCCATCGATAACGGTAATCGAATCTTTTTAGACCAAAAATCTTTTCATCCTCTAAATCTGAGGCCTGGGTTTCCAACTGGGAATGGGTGGAGTGTCCATTCCGTGTTGGGGAGGTGTTGCTGCTCGAAGTATCTCAGACTGTTGCAGCATCTGCAGTAATGCAGACACTGTACTGATCGATTGTGTTGAAGACAGAGTGTGAAGGTGTCGATTCTCTGGTCAGTCTATGCTCCTAATCTCAGCTATGGTTTTGGGTAGTCATTGAAAAAATGACATCACAGATAGAAGTAGCAGAAATTAGCCTTTTTGGAAGGGGGCTGAGATAGGGTGAGGTTGACTGTTTGGGAGGGTTTCCCCCCTAGAAGTGCTGGAGCAGGTGGCTGAGAAGAAGAGGTCAGGGTGTCTCGGCTGATAAGAGGCAGAAAATTAATGAATAGATTATAGCATCTTATACTGTACATTATCCTAATTGTAAAGGTGTTTGTTGTGGATCTAGAGCAATGTAATAATGAACCTCATAGAGTTAAGAGCTTTTAGGTTTAAGGAATTTTAAAAACACTAATGACATTCAGCTTTGAAATTTGAAGTATCTTATCTTTTCTTTGTTTCTGGTGTCTTTCCAGGACTGGGTGGATGAAGGCTATTTCAGCAGTGGTGTTTACTGTAGGAGGGTGGACCAGGAGGGATCGCAGTTCTACAGCTCCAAGAGACTGGACTTTGAACTCTATACATGATTTACATCGAGTATTGAAAACTTTGAAGATAATATTATGTTTCAGCTACAATCAATTCTCAGCCTTTTCATGGTTTTTTTTTAGGGCTTTGGTTTCAGATCTGCCATTTTAACACTGGTTTTGTTTTCTGTACACTTTTTTTTAAATAAATGATGTATGTGGTGAAGTAATCTGACATGTTTCTGTTAATCTTAGAATCAGATGACTCAATTTTAAGCTCACTGTGTTTTATTTCTTTCTTGACATGTGCTGAAAGTTTAAATAGCCTTTCCAGTTGACGGTACATGTAGCACATTTTGAGAGACTGAATTATTCAGTTATTGTAGAGTATTTTACACTTATAACCATGGTAAAAAAAAAAAAAAAAAACGTACACCCTCTTTAAATGATAAGGTTTTACTGTCTGGACATAATAAAAAAAAATCACATATTACAGAGTGTCATTATTTAAAACAAGCCAAAAAGCAGAAGCAGTGTGTGAAAGCATCCTCACTGGTTCCACAGATGGATACAGTTGTGGTCAATAGTTTACATCCACTCATGGGTGTGAATGTCATGGTAATTTGGGGATTTTAATTGATTCTTGGAACTATTCTTTTTCCAAGGTCGAATGATTAGACAGCATACATCTTTAATGTCTTTGAAAAAGAACAACTGGGTGCACATGTTTGAATTTATTTTGGATTTTGTCTAATCCACACAAGGTCAAAAGTATACATACAGACAAACATACATACAACCCACTAATATTTTGCTAAACTTTCCTTAGCAAGTTGGACCTCAACCAGATGCTTTTGGTAGCCATCAACAAGCTACTGGAATAATTCTGGCTTGATATTTGACCACTATTCTTGGCAGAATTTGTGAAAGTTTCCAGGCTTTTAAACAGATGAGGTCTGGCTTTTAATTGAATGTAAGGGACTCAACTTTTATGCATTTTATGTTAAAAAAAGGGAGTATAGAGAAGTATAAGCTATAACCCTCCCCCTTCTTATTGTTAAATAAATGACTGCAACATTCATCTTCCTTTCAACAAAACTTATGGCCTACATATATCGAGATGTAAATTGCACCAATGCATTAATATGTATACGAGCTATACAGCTCATTCATATATACATACATCGACCTATATCTACACAAACATATGTACTCATAGATGTAGTCACGCACAAAATCACTTATGTAGAGTCAATGTTTCGACTCTTTATTCCAGAATGAATAAATTAAGAGGGTAAGTAACAGCCCACTGCTGACTCAAAGCAGAACTTTTTGGCAGTTTTGCTGGTCCCCAAGTAATTCCATGGAGGAAATACATCTGCAAATATTTTAGAGAAACAATCGTTGCGTGCCAGTCAGTCTGGGAGGGGATATATGGCTGTTTCCAAACAATTTGAAGTTTATTATTTTACAGTGAGAAATATTATTCACAAGTGGAAAACTTTAAAATATTCACAGTTATGAAGCTTTCCATGAATCAGGAGTTAGTTTTCTAGAGACAAATCTGAGGAGAGTTAAAGCTTAACTGGGTCATACAGCAGGACAGGAGTCTCAATGCAGCCGCAAATCTATCACCGAATGGCTGAAAAAGAAAGGAATCAAGGTGTTGCAGTGGCCCAGACAAAGGCCAGACCTCAATCTGATTAAAATGCTAAAGCGTAAACAAATCTGGCAATCCTCACTGAACTGAAAAGAAGAGTGAGCCAAAATCCCTCCACAATCATGTGCAAGACTGATAAAGTCACATAGGAGTTTTTACAGGTACTATTAAGATACTTCTGCCGTGGAAAATGCACATTTTCCATACAGAAGAATATACGTAGAAAGTAGAAAAACCAAAATCCAACTCTGATCAATTTGCGTGCATGTAACAAAAGATGGTGAAAGATGGTGCAGTAACTGTTCGATTAGCTGAGTGACTATTTAGTAAACCTAAGAAAAAGAAGCGGTTTGCTGTTGGATGTCACACGTTATACTAAACGGAATATATTTTTTTTTTTTGGGGGGGGGGGGGGTATGGTTATATTTGGTACTTTTATGAAATTATGCGAGCAAAGCTACTTATTGTTGCATTAATAAGTAGTGAAAAAACAGCAACCATTCATAACTATCAGATAAAGCATAGGTAAAAGAAAGAAATTAATTAAACTGGTTAAAAACGTATTTGTTAAATATATTTTTTGACTCCGAAGAACAACATTCTGATTCGATGCCATATTCATTTTATTCAATTTGGCCGCAATTGTAGGTTTTTAAGATACTGGGTCACCCGAGGACGTTAAAAATATAATTTTTGCAGCCATTTGTCTTTGCGTTCCTATTGGTTGCCCTCAAACGACGACCCTTGTGATCTTCTTCTGATTGGTCAAATTTCAACAGGACTTTCCGGGCGGAAAAGAAGTCGAGCTGTGATTGGACAATCCGTCTGCCTAAGATGTTTGGTACAAACGGATAACATCTTCGAGTCACTGCAGGGCGCCGTCGCTGCTGCATGTCTTGTTTACGGTGAGGTCAGTTCGCGACGCTGCGGTCCAGCTTATCATTTCAGGTAAGTTTCTTTAATCCTGTTTAGCTGCTATAACAATTTGCGGCTAAACTACGAACAGAAGTTTAGCTCCCCGATAAAAAATGGTCGAACCTTTGGAGATGACAGTTCTTTGGCTACGACTATTGCCTGGTGCCGTAACTGACTGCTGTACACTGTGAATATCGGCGTCAGCCAAGGCATGCATTGTTGGCAGAGTAGTCTTAGGGCTCTACTTCAGATAAAACGCTGTATTTTATTACGACAACCATTTCAGTGGTTGAGTCAAGATTTGCTGTGGTTTTCGTTCGTTGGCTCATAAATAAAAGTTTGAATGTGAATCTGTGATTTCCAGCAAGTAGACCTCACCCAATTTTGATGGTTTCCATTCGATTAAAAGCGCTGACTGGATTCCTTCGTGATGGAATAGCAATAAAACTACGGTGCATTTCCCTTTTACTGCTTTCTTGTTTCTATCAATTTATGTTAGATCTAAGCTTAGACAACTTTTCTCTAACGGACTTGAGGCGCAAGTGAAAGGATACGGAATGCCAACCACAATGACTGGCATAGATTGGGAGCTGAAATTCAAAGGTTGAGAACCGAGGGTTTGCCTCCAATTGTACTTTTTATTATAATATTAATTGCATCGTTGCAATTTTAACTATTATAATTGGCGTTTATCAATTTTAAAATGATGTACTGTGAGCTAACGTTTATTTGTACGTCTCGCCAATGCTGCACTTAAAATCTAATTATTTCTGCGTCATAACTAAGCATAAAATTACTACGAGAAATTAATCTTTTTTTCACCACGTTAATAGGAATTTTTCTAATGCACAATAATCAATTATTGTTTTCAGTGATTGCTGTATTGTATTAACGTTAACTATATTATTTGTACTTGCCCCTATCTACGTTTTGTTGCTTTTATTTAATCATTTAGTAGGCTATAATATCAAATATCCAAAATTTCTGTTTAACTGTGTTTTTTCCTGGCTTTATATGATATTAAATCTAGACTTCTGCTGTGATGCTATGTTATTGTCAGACATTTTGTGTATATATTCTAAAAACTTATGCTATTATTTTTTATTTTTTTTCAATTGCAGAATAAAGTCCCATCTCAGAGTTTAGCAAAGTAAGTGAAAAATCCATTTCAAGACTTACTTTCAAATGCTGATGTGCTGTTTTGGTGCCCCGCATGTTTTTTTTTATTTTCCATTGTTGTTATTTACAGAGAAGGCCAGACAAGGAGAGGGAAAAAGAGAGCGAGAGAGCAAGGGGATGTTGACTTATCCCTCTGACTCACTCACTCAGATAGTTTGTCCAATGGATGAAGATGATATCCCCCCAAACCCTTTCTGTAGTGCACCTCCCCACAGTGAACCTGCACCACCTTTCCTCTCCCTTTCCTCCATCACTCCCAGGTATAGTTGTCCTGGCACCTCTTGCTTTATTTTGCTCTTTGTATAATTTCCCCTTCTTGCATTAGGGCACTTTTTTTTTCTTTATGAAACAATGACTTTATGATCTGTAGACACATAGTGGGATTACGCAGATTAAAATGATGACAGATTCCTTTAATATCTTTAAATGTTCACAGTTTTAGTTACTAATAGTGTTAATGTTCATCTTATATGTGGCATTTAAGGGGCTTCTATACAGCGATGCATTTTGCAGATTTGAGTATCCTGATGTTTTTTTTAATCCAAGTGTCTTCAGCTGCCACCTGGGATAAATGGCACAATCTGCCTAACCTGAGGGGTGTAGTATGAATCAAAAGCAATGGGTTAAGCTTCCAGTCAGTCTTCAATGTCACGAAGTTGGTTCTTTTTTTTTTTTTTTTTTTTTTTTTTACTCTAGCCAGAGCAGGTTATGATCAGAGTTGTAGTTTAAAATTTCACAGATTCAAAGTGTGATATAGATTAACTTATGAAGGATTGCATCTTATACAAGTAACCTGTTGAACCTTACCTGCTAATACCATCTAATAAAGCCATGCAAACCCTGCCCATACTCTTGACTGAATAAAAAAATTTCACTCGGATGAGGTGATAGTTTAAAGTCATATCCATATCACCTTCATCAGGACATGGGTCTGAATCAGATCTAAACACATTGAGCAGCCTGTAATTTCAAATGCTTAAAGTTTCAGAATTCTAATGCACTGTTGAGTGGAAAAGTAAATATAATAAACCATTCATTCACAAGATTATTGATTTTTTTTTGTCTCATCTTTTGCAGCAATATCACTGCATTTTGTCATTTTATATGTACTTTTAAAATTATTTTGATAGAAAATATATTTTCTGTTCATCATCACTTTTTTGTGTGAAAAAAGGTTGATCAAAATACATCAAAAGCCTTCTTTTATGCGAGCTTGCACAGACCGTGAAGCGCGAACCTTGGGTTAACAGACCGTTCATACCCACAGTTGTGATGCCTGTTGTTTCAGCCTTAAGTTTTAGGTTTTGTCAAGGCAGCTAATGCAAAGAGAGCCTGGCTATAATGTTGAACTTGCTTTGTCGCACCCTAAAGTGCAGACAACCACTAGTGTTTAGCTTTAAAAAGCCTCTCCAGACAGCAGGTGGATCTGTGGAAGCTTGCAGGTAGACGAGCTTAGGTGGGATTATCTGTGTTTTTATACGTAAATGGCAGAATCTGTTAACCTGGTTTGGTGTAAAATTTGTTTAGGATGTTGAACTTTAATTGTCAGATGGCCTTGTAGCTATCATATTTATGCAGGCTGGATTTCGCATCTTTTCTATTCCCGTGACACTGCATGTCTTTCATCATAACTTGGATAAATGGGTTTCTTTTCTTTTTTTTTTCTTTTTCTTTTTCTTTTTCTTTTTCTTGTTTTATCCTTTCACAGCCGTCCACATGATGGAATATCTGGCCACAGA